GAGAAAAATAAAATAAAAGCAAACCTTCAAATTGATCTTCATCTCCATCATCATCATCAAACAAAGAGAAGAAAATTTAAAATCTCCATCATCATCATCAAACAAAGAGAAGAAAATTTAAAGTGGTGAAAAAATTCTTTTATTGATTGCAACAAAAGTTATAAAATTGGAAGGTCTTCTCAATTAAGAGTAACTCTCCTCTCCAAATAGAGTTACGAAATTTTTCACACGTCTAACCCCTCACTCTCTACCTCTATTTATAGTAAACATCAATGAATATGAGCCATTGAATCGAATTCTTATCCAAAAGCCTTGAATATTAGCCATAGGATTGTAACTGTTTCGTCAGCATCGATGGGGGTATCAATGGGGGCATCGATGCTGCCATCGATGCCTAGATGCATCCTTTTCCTATCTGCAAATTTCTTCTTTGTTTGGCTTTGGGCTTTTGGCTTTTGGGCTTTTGGGCTTGATGCTTGTTTTCTTCATTAATATTTCTGGGCTTTTGATGAGAAAAGAGATCTTGGGCTTTATTTTTTATTAACCTACAATTAAAGATAAAAATAATTATTAGTGGTATATTTATTCGTATAAAATAGATAATGAGGGTATAAAATTGTAATAAAAATATGATTATCAAAACCCCTTATAATGGATGATCTCCTCTCTTATTATAGGCTAAAAGAGAGAGTTAATGGCCCATTTATGTGGGTTAAGTGGTCATTAAAAAGGAGGAGTTAGTACGGAGTAGTTATCCCCCGAAAATAGCTCTGAAATGGCTATTTGTACGAACTTTGCGGACTTGGCGAGGTTGGCTGAAGGCGTGGGCAAAGGTCACTACGGACGTGAGCGCGCCTTCTTCGGAAGTGGATGACTTTGTACACTTGACGTGGGCGAAGTTCATTGGTTGGTTAGTTTCGCCTCTGAGTTCGAATTTGATACATAATTTTACTCTAGGCTTGGTCGACCAATGGCGCTTTATGTCTCAGCCTAGGGCGTGTCATGAGAGTCGACTCGTGTTTTGACTTGGTCGGGTTGAGTCAAGGTGGGCTGATTAGCGAGGTTCGCTTTAGTCATCAAGTGACCTTTGCTCCAGCTTGTTGTGGGCTTGACTTTGGACCCATTCGAAGTGTTTAGCCTATGAGCGTTCACTTCTTGGATCCAAGTTGATCATCGTCCTAAGTGAAAATACATTTTGATCATCTACAAAGATTAAATAGAAATATTCCCTAAATGAGTACACTAACTGGTTATATCCCATCTAGCCAACATGATAACATAAACTGGGCCTCAACTCACTCACAATTTAGCCAAAAGTTATGGGCCCACAAAATCTACTCAATATCCATAATATAAAGGTTTCATCATTTATGCACAAAAAGATCATGATCAACCATACTAAAATCATGTAAGTCGGTGATATTAACTAGCTCAGCACATTTTTATCATCATAAACGCAATCAAAAGCTCACAAGACTTAATTTAGACATATGGAACGCAAATACACATGTTTACCAAAAAAATTAGTTTTTGAAGAATTCCTAAAAATGCTTAAAAATCCACCTAACGTCAAACTATGTGCAAATGTCCCTTACAGGTAATCTTGATTTCAAGGAAGCTAACGAAGAAAACGAAAATAAAATTAGAAGTCAGAATCTCAAAATATGCATATAATAACAATTTGACAATTTGCAGGTTGAGTGCCTCCTCTCGATGGGTGGGGGCGTGCGCTCAATGACACTCCACATAAGATAAGTGGCAAATTCATCTTCTTGAAATGAACTGCTTCCCGATCGGGAATGTGCATTGGCAGAGTGAGCGTGTGCGCTCGACCTGACAGCCTGTCATTTTTTTGCAATTTATCAAATTTTACTATCATATACTCCAATTATACCTCATTTAAGAATTACGCGTGTCTTAGATTCATAGCAATACTTATTTGCAACTATTTTGAGCCTATTTCATCAAGAATCCAAAGAGAAATATCAACATTTCGGTATGATCAGACAACATGCTCAACGCTAACGGCCACTTTAAATGAACTCATTATTTCTTGAGCTTTGTTGCGGTATGGGAATAGATCAACATGCTTCACTATGTATTCCATTTTGATTTGCTTGACGATGAGTTGAGAATACCCGTTTAGCTTCTGAATACTCTGCACCTAATCTCCTGGCAAGGTCAAGTACTGTTAGCAAAGCGTTGCATTTCGCCACGTTGTTTGGACATGATTCTGTCAACAAGAATGAGCATAAGATCATGTGTCATGTGATAGCATAACCTTCACTCTCGCAATTGTATTGCTACCTAGGTCAGATCTGGACGCTCCATCGAACCACATCTGCCAGATTTGTTCTAAAAAAAAGATTCATGAAGTCTTTATCATTTCCTACAACATGGGTCTTTTTCCTTGATAGAGAGATTGTGAAGGAGAAATCTACCTCTATGGGATTTCCTCCCGTTAACAACAACCTATTAGAATCTAAATTAACCAAATCAAGGTTTTCAAGGATCAAATGATAGAACAACCTACAGAAGTCAAACTGACAAGTGGTAGTACTAACTCATGAGGAGTGGTAGAGTGTTAAACACCAAGCTTTAGAAACAAAGCAAGTTGGAAAAACGAACAAAGACCAAATAAAATGGTGGTGAGAACACTTGAAGACGAGAGTTTGCTGTGTTGCTGCAAAGCTGCGAGAGAGCATCAACAAAACAACAATAGCAAACAAAGAGGAAAGATTTTAGAGCCCTTGAAATGAAGGCTAAGGGGCTACATTTATAGCCAAAAATCTACTTGGCGTCGCGGAGCTACACTGTCGTACGGGCATTTAACGCAGCATGGAGCTATATAGTCACTTTATCACCTCATGGATAACAGTCAACAGGCGACACAATAGTTTCATAGTTCGCTTATTGCAATATGGGCGAGTGACAACTTTATTAGCTTTGCGACCAATCTTCAGACTAATCCAGCTCAGCAGTGCAGACAACCGTGTAGTAGCAAATTTGCTGCATTTAATGGTGTAGATTTAGCAGTGTGTCCGTCGACGTGACTTCTGACTCATATTACCATTAGTGTTGTTCGTCTCGTTGACTAGCTTTGCAACGACAACGGAGTTAATTGTGGACTTCTGTAATGTACACTAAGTTCCCCTTTATCATGTTGAATGACCAAATTGCTCTCGGAGGGCCTCTTTATTGTATCAAGTAGATCTCATCTGCATTTTTTAACGCCTACACATACAATCACATTTCAGGTCTCCAGCAACCATTCAAAACTATTCCCTTAGAAGACCAACATTTAAAAAACTATTGACCTAAACACAATGGTTTTTGCTTAGGGAACAGGCATAACTATTGCAACAGTTTGGTACACAAATGTGACCGCTATAGAAGTAAGCAATAGGCTTCTGGTTTAAGGCAGTCTCTCATATACAAGCACAACGCTTTTCGGGCTTAGAGGCTACTATTTCTACTGTAGAATTTATAGAGATCCATTCTATATTTCTATTAACAACAAAAAATAGTAAAATTCAAAATTTCAATAACCTCACACATTTCTAAAGAAAAGCCACTAAACTGCAAAAACTTGATGCATATTCTAGACAAAATGAGCTAATATGAAAATCTCCTCATACTTGCATCCAACACTTCAAAATGGAAACTAGATAATTGCATCCAGCACTTGAAAAATCTCAACAAATAGTCGCTCAAAAAAATTAACATAGCATAAAAAACACAGTGCTAATAAAAAACTAATCCTCAGCTGCAAAGAGCACATCTTGAAGAACAGAACCGAAGGCCGATGGAGTTTTGATCTGCTAGCTTCCGAATCTGACCTCTACAATCAAATTGAAATTATTGGTTAGCAAAATGATCACAAAGGACGTTAGTTTGTTAAGCATATCAAAATTGAAAGATTAATTGCATGCATCAAGCAAGAGTTATTCAAGACCGTAATTCTATTGCTAAATGCATGCTCTCAGTTTTCTAATTTACAAAGAACGAACTTTCTTCATGACCTGAAAACTAATGCCATTTTTAAGAGATGGTTTAATCTGTTAACCTTATATTGAACCTCATGTTGAAAAAGGACGCATTTCACTTGCACGGATATCAGAAGCATAGTCTACAAAAGACAAAAATTGGATAAATTTCCACCCCGCGTAATAAGCAAAAGACATAAGTTGCGTTTGGAAATAACTGAACATATCACGATGCTACAGTCATAAATGATAAAGACATATGCAAAAAAAAAGGGTTTCTTGATGAAAAGCTGCTTAACTTGTACAGGAGTTCAAATATTCATAGGTCTCTATGGAAAACGAACTTTCATATATAATTTTTCAGGATTAAAATTGTCTAGATGAATGAATGAGCACGACTTAGGTTTTTAAATCTAATGTATGAAAAAGTTCATTTGTCTGTATGATCTAGAACCTTTTTTTAAAAGAAATTGCAGATCTATTCATATCCTCATAATGGTGTAGCTTGTGATCTTAGGACAGTCTTGTAATAGATCACCGTGATTCCTTGGTCTCACTAGTACAAAGTGGCCCAGCCCCAATGGTTCAAACCATTGGGGCAGATAGTAACCCCAACGGTTTAAACCGTTGGGACAAAAAAAACACCCATTGGAACAAATTGCGTCGGGGCAAAGTTTGCCCTAACGGTTCTTTTAGCAGCACCAACGTTCTAACCGTTGGTGCTGATATTTTTTTAATTTTAATTTTTAAAATATAAAAACCCTGCACCAACGGGTGGAACCGTTGGTGCAAACATTAGCACCAACGGTTGGAACCGTTGGTGCTGAAGTTTGCACCAACGATTCCACCCGTTGGTGCAAAAACATGCACAGCTCGTGCACCTTATCAGCCCCAATGGTATGAATTCAAGAATGATAATCAACCTGTTCACAATAATATTCCCATGCAATTACACAACCAAAAACATAAGTATGTCATAAAATGAATTCAAGATCCTAACACCATACGCAATTATAAGGCAAAACAAAAAATTTACTAAAATGAAATGCGAGTAGTAATTTTTAAACAACTAAATCACAAACATAAAGAATATCCAAAATACAATGTCTCAAATATCTAAAAAGTGCAAGTCACTGAATTGAAGAAAATCCAAAGTACATCACCAACTACTGTCTAAAATACAATGCATCACTTCTCCATCTGCAGGTCCTGAGTTCATCACCAACATCTCTTCACTGAAGTTGGCAAAAGCCAAAGTACTGACCCTGCTGTCGAACTTCCTACACGAAAGCCGCCATGGAGTACCTCGAGTCCCCGTGGCAAGAGTTTCTCCTAACCCAGGAGCAATCTCAGCTTCAACAGACTGGATCTCGATCAGTTGGGCTAATAGTGTGAAACACAAAGGAAAGCTCAGGAATTAGCATTTCTTGCACTAGAACAACCATTGTTGCCTTCCTCTGGGAAACACCAGCAGCTTTGCAGCTTAAAATGGCTCTCCTTGTGTAGAGAGAAGCCCATACCCAAGCAATAGCGGTACCAAAGATTCTCGGGTTTGAAAGGCTGACTTTTGGGATTGATTCGTACAAACCAGCAGCTGACATACCGACTAAGTCTTCGACATTGGCACTGGATCTCACTATAAGCCGAGAATCGGTTGAAAGGGTCTTGCTGAAAGTTTCTATGACAACATCGGGTGGTGATTGGGCTGCGATTAATGCCTGGAGCTCCGAGCGTATATTGTCTAGTTTGCTGCCTGTGGAAGACTGCTTCCATCTGTTGAATCCCATGTAATGAAGGTCTTCATGTTGTTTCTAAAAACCATGAAACAGAAGATATCAACTCTAAGTAGAGTACGCAATGCTGCAATTAATAAAATTATGAGGAGTTTCTTATGAAAATGCTGTAATTAATTGAATTCTGACTTACAAAGGTTGGAAAGATCGCTAACCCCTGAGTCCAAACTTTAGTACTTGAAAATCGATCTCTCTGGCAAAGGCATACAATGAAGACAGTTAAATGCAACAATTCAACATATTATCCTTAGTTCATAGCTGGGGGAAAAAAAGGTTTTACATGGTTTTAGATACCAGTCCAGAATGGATATTACGTAAACATGCAAGTATGCAACATCCTGGGATGTTGTGAAAGGAAAAGAACATTATGGTAAATTGAAATTTTTTTGCACGCTTGGATCCATGGTTTATGGTGATTTCCGCAGCTGCAGCATAGCACAATATCTAATGCATTCTTTCTGCTAGGATTAAAACTTGCACACAATCTTCTGAACCCTTGATACTTCATCAACACCTTGATTATCCTCAATAAGATCAATATCATATCCTCCACCTACACAAGTGTTAGCAACACTAGATGATCTTCTATAATTCTAATATTCTATTAAGTATCAGATTCATTTTGCAACTTGTTACCTGTGTGCATCTCCATCAAAGCATCCAACTTTCTATTTTTTTTCCTTATATTTTCCCTTCCAATTTTGATCACATCTGTTTTTTTTATTAGTTTGTGGATTTTATACATGTCAAGTCCTTTGGTGTTGTCGGATTGAATGATCAAAAGCTATGAAGTTTTAGTATAGTTCGTATTGATTATAAAGTACTGCAACTGCAGGTTATCTTCTACTCCCACTTGAATAATTTCCTACAAATAGAATATGTTAGTTCGCAATTAAAACAACTTAAGAGGTTCATTCTTTTCAGAGGTTTTCTTCTACTCCCACTTGAATAATTTCCTAGAAACACAGAGAATATGTTAGTTTACAATACAGAACACAGAATAAATTCCTACAGAACACAAGAATACAACAAATGCCTTACAAGCTAACAAGCTCAACTACAAACATCTCCTTGAGCAGACATTGCTTGATGTTATATGTTTCACCAACCAAATAGCTAAATCGTAATAATCACAAATTGATGATTAAATAAAACTTATAAATCTCCCCAATATGGTCACTGAGAGGCCCACTACCTCACTTGAGGTCTCCGAAGTTCTAGCAATTTCTCCGAGACAAATATTACAACTACAATTTGGTCATGAATTATAAGTCCTTTTATAGAAAGACGCTGCTAATGTCATTTCACTGAAACAACAAACTGAGTACGTATGCAAGACATACTAGATTATAAGACCATTGACAAATAAGCATATAACACATACAAAACTTTGATGATGCTCACAGCATGCCGTGAAATACAATCATGGTGAGCATTTTTTTGTACAAAATAAGATAAAACAAGTGACACAATAAAGCATTATATATGCTAATATATACAAGTGTATGCTAATATATACCTGTGACATGAGAGCAGAATTCTTGATACCACAAAGATTAGTTGCATAATGAAGTCCCCAATCTATGCGGTTAGCAACCTGTTCCCTACAAGATGGAAGTGCAAGCCAAATCAAGAGCCAGCTTAAAAGATTACACAAAGAAGTTCCAATGAACTAACCACAAACGAGCACTTCTATATTAAAATCATCCACTAGCGCTATAATACAGCACCTAAAATTTGTAAATTAAATATGAAGGAGAAAACAAAATCATATCCAAAGCTCTAATTGACAGAGTAAATCATATCCAAAGCTCTAGTTGGCATAGTTTTGGGTTTTAAAATTATTCTCCAACTAAATATATCTCAGCAATTAGAGGGAAAATAAAACTAAACTAATTACTTATGGAACAAATTATGTAATACTGAATGATGTTCTAAAAAGAAGACTGGGGATATTCAAGCTCAACCTCAGACTCAAGCTCATCATCAGGGCCGGCCCTGGCATAGGCAGGAGAGGCCTTCGCCTAGGGCCCCCAAAAAACAGGGGCCCCCAATGCATGCATATTAGTGCATAATATAGAATATGCGGGAGTCTCATTGTTACATAAGGGACTAAATTGAAGAACAGTAAGCTATGCAACAGACGTACATCGCTAGGAAGGAACGAAAGGGCAAAGCAAGTAAATGTTTGAATGCAGTAAAGCCAAACAGATATAATGCATTAAAATAGGAAATACAAAATGGATACCGCGATCCATCTTCACAAGAGCTCGCATAGAAGAGATGTTTGTCTCGGTTCCTTAGAAGTCTCCAGGCGCCTGCAACAAATAGCATGTTTTTTTTATCATTCTAATAGAAGATCAAGTAAAATCTTAGAAAAATTATGTTACAGAAAGCTAAACTGATTCTTACAGAAAAGTAAGAACAGGCAAAGTATCAATAACTTTTTTGGTTTTTCAAGTTACAAAGTGATATCATAAAATTATTTCAATACAAGCCCAAATCATAGTGTTCTGAAGTTAAATGTTTTATGTGACAAGTGAAATTCTCAGATAAAAACCTATGGGTAAAATTGTGCATATGTGTCATTTCACTTTCAAGCATCGATATTGCTACCATCCTGCATGTGCTCAGCTTGATAACATACAAATCAATCAAACTTTAGACAAAAACTTCTAAATAAATGTGATTTTTTTTGCTGCACAGAGATACATTGGTGAAAGAATGTTGTCATTGAGGGGAGGTTCTCAGAGTAGAACAGTACAATGATAAAAGTATAATACGAAACATCAACAAAGGCAACTTGAGACAAGTGTAAGAACAAACTTCTGACTGATGATTGGAGAATGTAAGTACATACATGATCATTCATTTTTCTCTCTGTAAGTACACACATTAAGTACACATATGATCATTCATTTTTCTCTCTGTAAGCATATAACACACATGATCAAAAGCTATGAAATTTTAGTATAGTTCGTATAGTTCATATTCATTATATAAAAAATTAATCAATAACGTGTATTCTCATTAATTCTTGCCTTATGAATAACCCAATCACCTTTTCTCCACAAATTACTTCAAGATTTGAACTTCTTTTAGAAAACACCAAGAAAAACCCTAAATCCCACTCAAAATTCCCCTTCCCCAATAAACGCCCTCAACTATTCATCAAATATACCCTAGATCTCTCCTAAACCAGAAGCCAAAACCCTAAATTTCAAAAAATAAAAAAAATAAAAACCTAAATCGCTTACCTCTTTCTTCTCCTTCGCTGGGCCTGAGAGATAGAAGGCGAGGAGAAGAGAGAGAACTCAAGAGGCTCGAAAACTACGATGGTGGGTTATTGGGCCTTTCTTATAGAAGTTGGGCTTCAATGGATCGGGATGAACCTGGCGGCGACGACGATGAACCTGGCGGCGACGACGAACTTCGGGGCTTGATGGCGGCGGCGAAC